AAAACAAAGTTGCGGACCATGATAATTCCGTTACCGTCAAAGGTTGCGATCCGTTTTCGTGCACTGCCCATTAGAGCCCACTTGAAGATCCACAATGGAGCAGCCTGTCCGTCGTCATCCGCGCTTGCCTGTGTCGCTGCTGTTGCTCGCAAGCATGGCGAGCATCTTGCTGATCACTGTCTATATCAACAGTAGACTCATCGGGAACTCCTCCATCGGTCTCAGCGACAGTTTCGATGCCTTTCGGTCCAGGACGAACAATCTACGGCTTCAAACCGGAGCTAATGTCGACGACTCAGCATTCAAGAGTACACCCGTGCATCCAGAGTCTCAATTCTACAAGCGCGGACAGAACTTCGACGCAAGCGTGAGTCGCGACCGCGGTATCATGATCTGTATGCACGACGGGGTACTGGACATGGGATTGTCACTTATTCGGGAGCTGCGCTGCCTTGGCAACCAAGAGCTCATTCAGATTTATCACTGCGGAGAAGATGAATTGTCAAAGAGATCTGTCAGCCTACTGTTCAGTCTTGACGACCGCGTTGAACTTGTGGACGTGTGCTCCGATCTTTCATCGCGAAACGTGATCTCCAGTAACTTGACCGCTCAATTCCAGAGTTGGTGGATCAAACCACTTGCTATGTATCACACAGATATTCGACACGTGATGTTACTAGACGTAGACGACGTCATCATGAAAGACCCTGCTGTTCTTCGCCATCTTGACGGATACGTGGAAACGGGAACTACTTTTTTCTATGATCGCGTTGTTCAGAAGAAGAAATTCCTCAATGGAAACGACCATGGGAGGTATTATCTACGGAGATTACTTCGGGAGTTTGACTATGCGAGGTTCACTGTGTCTAGGGGCTTTGCTCCATCGAAGCATTTACTCAGCACGTTCGCGTACAAGGGTAAATCCTGCCACGAAATGGACTCCTCAATGGTGTTGATTGACAAGGAGCGTGCAGGAAAGACCGTCATGAACATTATACTCTGGCTTGTTACGGAAGAACGTTTCCGCTTCAAGTATTCGTGGGGTGATAAGGAGACGTTCTGGTTGGCATTCGAGCTGGCTCATGTGCCGTATACTTTCTCGCCCTGGGGCGTTAGTGTGGTCGATTCAATGCCGAATGAGGACATGAAGAGACATCCCGACGCACTTTGTGGGAGTATTTTACAGTTCTTGCCTGTTGAGAACAACGAGACAGAGATACTGTACGTCAACGGCAAGGCGCTGATCGACCCATACCCGCAGGGTGTTGCCTACATCCGCAAGGCAAAGCAAAACAACTTGTTCAATATGCTGCCGACGCACATGACGCCTCGACAGCGCCGCAGAGAAGTGAACACTACGACGGAGAAATTCAATATTGAGTGTCTTGTTGGAATGGGTTCGACTCCATTACCCACTACTTTCTCCCACAATCTATTGCGTCGCCGCCTGCATTTTCTCGGAGTTGCCATGGACGTTATTGGCTCTCTGCAGCATTGCGAAACGTATAATCAAGAAGGAGCCCACCAATACTAGCAAAGCGAGTGAAGACAACAAACGTTTTTTTTTCTATCATTCAATATCATTTGTGCTGCTGAAGTTTGACGGCCTCGAGTGCATATCTACGTAAATGCTTTTCTATTTCTCCAAAGCTCAGATCCGAGATCTTCTTAGCGTAAAAGTGTGGGTTCCGATCCAGATCACCGCGACCATAGCAACGCTGCCATTTTGGAAACCCCGGTAGGTTCTCACCCTTTACAATATACTCTGAACGGGCCGACGTGTTCCGGAAGGACAGCAAGTGCGTCCAGATTTCAGGATCCGGGTAGCCATCGTCCAGCAAAGCTTCGATACCAACCAGAGATAACTTTTTGTCTAGCGCTTCACTCAGTTTAGGGTGAAGTTTCCCCATCAACTTGCGTTGGTTTCTATGCAGGAAGAGCACCTCGCCCTTGGTGTCATGCTGCACCATTGTCATTCCGCAAAAGGACCTACCGATCACTGTACCGGCAATAGAAGGCGGAGTTTGGATCATGAAGAATGGAACCTCGAGCTTCAACCACGCGAAGCGAAATAGATCCTTGTCACCCCACGCAAGTCGCTGAAGCTGAAAGTAATTGGGTCGATGGAATGCATAGAATGATACGAGGTGGAGTGGTGCTGCGTGTCGACGACGATCGATGAGAATCTGACCGCTTTCTTGTTCGAACATATCGACAAAAGGCATGTCCAATAATTGCCAGACGAGGGATTCCGAGTTGATATAGAACATCGTGTTCTGTGGATGCCAATAATCGGGCCAAAAGATGGCGCCCATTTTCACAAACTCGGGTGTTTCGAATAGAGAAGTTGGATCTCTCACTGGGGCGTTGTCGGCGTCCAGAAACAGCACTTGTTCGAAATTGCTGTGATAAATCGCGTATATCTTTGCCTCAAACCGAATGGGTCTGCCGTTCGTATTGATCTCACGAAGTGTCAAGTTGCCAGTAGTTGTGTTTTCATTTAGTGTCTGCAGCGGTTTAAGTGACCCCGGGGTTTTCCGCATTTCGTCGGGAGAAAACCAGATCTCGATTGGTAGTTCACAACCCAACACGTCGCGAAGCAGTCGGATTGTGGAATAAGCGCTAGCTACCAACGCAGGATACACTACCATAACAATGCCTCGACTGGGAGTTTGCAAGTCTGCTCTCAGATTGGGTAAAGCGAAACGAGGCTTTTTAGTCTGAGC